TTTTACTTTTTTGTGTAATACTTCGTTTTAGTTAAAAATACAGAGGAAATCAAAATATTTTGACATACGTATACGTAAAAAATGTATAAATTATCAAATTTATTATTAATAATAAATTAGTGTCGTTAATAACAAATTATTTACAACGTATATTTATAATAAAGGTGAAAAAATTAAAAAATTATTAGCTATGAAAGCGGAAAATTAGTAATTAATAAAATCGACAAAGTTCGAAAATTTCCGATCGGGGTGGGGGACTCGGTCGATCGAAGGCTATATAAAGGGCGACGCTCCAGTTATGGAGTCATTTGTCAGTTTGGCCTCGGGACAGTAACATCTAAATTTTTCCGTGTGCGGGAGTGGGGGTGGGTCTGAAGTGAGGTGGGGTTGGCTACCCCACCCACTTCCACCCCCTTAAATAATTTTTTTTCTTTCAGATTTTAATTATTTTTTATTTTTACAGGTAATAATTTTTTTTTTTTAATTCAGATGTTATTTTTCGTTTATATTTATTTATATTTGGACATTCGAATATTTCATATAATATTTGAATGTCTCATCGTTGGGTTGCTCCTTTCACTTGGTTAGCCTTCATGGTTTCTATTCGTTCGTTTTCTTTCCTCGTTAAATTAATCCGTTTCCTTTCAGGTTTATATTAACAATAATATATTCTGTTTTAGCTTTTAGATTTCACAAGATTCTCAAATTTCCTCAAGACTTCATTACGGACACATCGACAGACGACACGGGATGCGTTTACTTTTAAGTAGTCATAAGATAGATTCCTAGACTAAGTCCAATCTGCGCGCTATCCGTTCAAAGGTAAGCTACCTAACTTGGAGCGAAATGTATCAATTCTCTATCCTCCTCTTATCCCTTTCGTTACCAAATAGAACATAATTGTTCTCGCGATAATCGCGATCGTTCTTAAGTACCGACTAGCCTACGCGACGTACTCCCTTGTACTCGACAACTTTACGTCTCATAAGTCATCCTCACGACTCGTCTCCGACACTTATTTCCAGCCACTGTCAATCTCGCCAAGCATCGAGTTCCAAGGTGGCCCCCGGGTCACTGTTTCTTCTGGACTTGATGCGGGGGTCCAGCTGACCCGGTCGCGTATGCGACTGGGGTTCGGGTACGCAGTTGGACGGACATAGTGTCTACGGTTAGACCACACGGATGATTAAGTTCTACCCCGTGTGGCTGGGATGCGAAGTGTCTGTCTGGCTTGCAATGCTCCGCCGGACCCTCGTATCGACTCTGGGGTTTCGGTGGTTCGGGGACTATCCTTGGTCCACGTGTAAGTCTTGACGAGAACGATAGTGACTGGACTTGAGCTAGGCCCGATTGGGAGGGTGCCGAGGCATGAAGTTGTTTTGTACACGGGAGTACATCTCGTCGGCTAGTCGGTTTTTCGAATAATCGCGAGTTCGTTCGGGTGCGTCGCGATTTTAACTTAGTTTCCCTTTGCTCGCGTTTTTCATATTTGATTCCCGAATTTTGTGGGAACTTGGAAATATTAGAGTCTTGTTAGTGCTGCGACAGTAAAGTATTAAATATTAGTATACCGAATCGAAGTCCCTTTGATAAGACACGTAATTTTACAAAGTGTTAGTAGAGTCACATTAACTTCATTCGCTCCAAGTTAGATTAAGGTACCTTTGATACAGATAGCGCCAGCAGGCTGCGCCACTAGGGCGCATGTCCGGGTCTCGATGCGTAGACACCTCCTCGTGGTGAGACCTGGTAATTGGTATCGTTTTCCAAAAAATTAATTTTGGAAGCGATACCAAGCTAAGAGCTACGCACCGAAGTTGAAATATTAGTTACAAGCTAGCGATAAGTTAGTTATAACTTAGTCGCAAATTAATTATAAAGTAGTCATTAATTAGATATAAGTGAATTTTAGTTTACATATAAGTTAATAATAAGAATAAAATATTTTAGTAATTAGTATCTATTGCAGTAATATGTAAATTCTGATGAAATAAGGTAAGTAAGGTAAGGTAAGTAAGGTAAGTATAGTAACAAAAGTCATTAGGCTTTCCTGCAAGTAGTAGCCTGTGTATAGTATACATATACACACGATCACTGCGAAATTTGTCTCTATAGAATTCTTAGAAAGTGACGTCATTTCTTGGAATCGGTCGGTGAGCGACCTCCTGTCATGTTATGTTATCCTAATATAAAATCGTGAAAATCGGCCAGAAACTTTTCTTCGAGGCGACAAAAGTATTGTCCGAGAATTCCTAGAAATGACGTCATTTCTTGGAACTGTCTCGACGTGCGACCTCCTATCATATTATGTTCTCCTGATACAAAGTCGCGAAATCGACCAAAAATTTTTCTTCGGGGCCGCAAAAGTATTGACCAAAAACGACAAAAGCATTGTCCGTCGACGCGGTAAAAGTATTGACCAAAACGGCAAAAGTATTGTCCATCGAGACGGTAAAAGTATTGACCGAGAATTTTTGGAAATGACGTCATTTCTTGGAACTATCTCGGCGAGCGACCTCCTGTCATCTTATGTTCTCCTGATACAAAATCGTGAAATTCGCCACAGAGATTTCTCGCAGAGTCTGCAAAAGTTTTGACCAGGGAATTCAAAGAAATTATGTCTGTCTTTGAAACGCTGTAAAATTCGAACCACGTGACTTACGCCCACGCAATTTACACACATGACACATATGCACCTGAGGATCAGACTGATTTAACCCGCAATCGATTCGGCCATCATTAAAAAATGTCACCTTTGGCCACTCACTCCCAGACTGGAATCTTCTGACTAAAAATCAGTCAACAATCTCGCAAGCTTGAAAGCTCACGATAACCATAGGAATACGTAGGGTACACTGTAAGCTGTCACATAGGAGATCATCGGAACCTGGTCATGCGATAAAAAAGGACAGCATGCGGTTAGAAAAGGTTAAACACGGCGTGGCAGTAAAAAATTTCAAATTACCAAGTTTCTACGATTATTTTATGAACTTTTATAGCTGCATCGCAAAGCTAGAACTTTGAACAATATTCTCATGCAATTTTCGATAATAATTTGAGGCTAATTAGGTTGTTATTAATAATTATTTGAAGGCGTACGTGATTTGATAATAATGATCGGCACAATTGTCAGTTAAAATATTTAATTATAAACAAACTAGAAGTAAAATATGAACAAAAATTATATAGGAACATTGCTAAGGATATTGTTTTTATAATGCCTAAATGTTATAGATAAATTAGTTGCATAAAAGATAGTTATTAATGACAAACTATAAGGATCTGCGGCAACAGTTCGAACACTCCGTGCAATAATTACTAATAATTAATTAATTAACGAGAAATTTGTAACTAAAATAATATTGGAAAGTTCTTAAGGAGTATCTCTTTACTATACAATTATTAAAGGTTACAAATTAATCGCTAAAATTTGATGATTTTCCTTTCAAGACAATCCTATTGGTGAATCATTATTCTCTATCCTTCTCTAAGGGTGGTGCGACACATTGATTGGCGCTAATGCAGCCAATTAAATCAACTTGCGATCAGTACCATCTATGATTTTAGACTTGAAGTTCGAATTCTGCAACGAAAACATAGATGGCTCTAATGTTACTCAAATAGTTTACTAACTCTGATTTTGTGCTTCTGATACATTTTAATAAATCAATTCGGCAGTGGAAAATTCACAAATTACTCAATATCTGCGATTAATTTATGAACTTTTATAATTGCATCGTAAAGGCAGATCCTTCAAGAACTTTCCAATATAATTTTGGATATAAATTTGTCTCTGATTAATTAATTATTAGTGATTACTGCACAGGCTGTTCGAATTTTTGCCGGACATAGTAATAGTTTTTCATTAATTACTATCCTCTACGTAATTAATTTATGAAACTTTATGCACTCACTATAAAAACAATGTTCTTGCGAATCTTCTCATGTAATTTTTGTTCACATTTTGTTTCTAGTTTCGTTTAGTATTAAATATTTTCACGGAAAATCGTGACAGTCATCGTTACGAAATCGTGGACGCCATCAAACAATAATTAATAACTAACAAATTATATGAGCGATAGGTTTTGTATTTCCTGTATCTAATGATTATTTATTTTCGTTTTCTTTCTGTAGTAAATAAGCTTGCTATAGAAAACTGTTTTTCTTGCAAAATAATAATAAGTATTTTGTAATAAATATATGCTAGCATTAGAAAATGTAAAAAATAAATTTTTTTATTAAGAAATTGTAGTTGCAATCGTTTATTTACAATGTTTTCTTAGGCGAAAAATGAATACAAAATAAAAAGTAGATTGATAAAAAAAAACTTCCCCTACTAACTTATTATGGACAAGAATCGAACCCCAGACCTACCGAATAGGAATTCTCTAATGTCGTCGTTTCACCACGACTCCACTTGCAGAATATTGGGAATAAATCTATAATTACGGCAGTAATAAAACTCTAATCGTAAATATCTTAAAAATTACTAAGTAATTACGACTATAATGATATATTTTCTGAAACTGCATGACAATATCTACAAACCTGCAAAATTTTAACTAAATCGGTGACCCGAAGGACTTGCACTATCCTTGTAAGATGTTTCAAGATATTTATCACATTTATTTATGTGATCAAAAAATGAAAAATTATCATTATTACATATATCTACATATGATAGGGCAATAACAAAAAATTGAAAGCGCTAACTTGTGTAACAATGGCAAAAATGTAATCTCTGTACGTACATACGTAAATGTGTTGCTTGAGCTGCGTATGTACGTATAAATATATGTATATAGAATATAAAAGTTTTATTAAATTTTCATGTTACATTATGAACAGAAACCTTTAAACACTTTTATTTGAATCATTAATTGTTTAATTATTGCTTTAAAAGAATTCGACTTCGCACAATTTTGTTTAAGATAAACAATTAAGAGGACACTACTGGAGCATGTCGATAGTAACGCCATCGTGCAAATGCGACAGGAACCTTGTCGTCTGTACTGCAAGATTGATATCCTTTGCACTTGATTTCGTCTGACTGCATACAACTGATACCAGTTTCTACTTATATCTAAAATAGTCGCTATAACGTAAGTACTATCTAAAAGATATTTAAATAAACATAACATGAGTTTATTGAACTCACAATTAATAAAGCTATGGTATATGTAACTACTTTTCATATATCTTGTCTCTTTAAAGTATTTAGATTTAAAAGATGGGCGACACATATAGAACGAATTGTGATGTAACCAACTCAAATTATCATTAAATCGTACAGTTTTACATAAAATTTCGTAAATAAATTTTGATTACAGCTCATTAAAATGGCTACCCTTGCACGTAATTTACGTCCTTATTTAAAATACATTCGTAATCAAAGGAGAACTTATGCTGATGCAGCCGTTAGCGACCAAATGAAATTTACGTTTGCTGGAGCTAATCAGGTATAAATGAATATATAGCTCGTTCATATTATATATTCTTTCAAATTTACCAATTTATAATCTAATTATTATAGGTATTCTATGACGAAACTGTAATTAAACAAGTAGATGTACCATCGTTTTCTGGCAGTTTCGGTATTTTACCAAAACATGTACCTACCTTGGCTGTATTAAAACCAGGTGTAGTCACGGTGTATGAAGAAGATGGAGCAGTCAAAAAAGTTTTTGTTTCTTCAGGAACAGTCACTATAAATGAAAACAACACTGTACAGGTTTGTATTTAATATATTATGTTATTTAAATGCGATACCATATTACTTAAATATGATACAAACTGTTAGATGAATTTTCATATCACTTTTTCCTAAAATACTATAAAAAATATGGAATAGGTCTTAGCAGAAGAAGCTCATCCTTTGGAAGATTTTGATAGTTCAACAGCTAGAGAACTTCTTAGTAAAGCACAACAACAACTTGCATCAGCTTCATCTGAACAAGACAAAGCCGAAGCAACAATTGCAGTTGAAGTTACAGAAGCTTTAGTGCAAGCTTTACAATAAACATTGAAAGAACATTGTATACGTGTTAAAATATTATTCTATGTGTCATTAAATTTTTTAGGGCATGTATCTGTCATGGTTCTGTCATATTCCTATATAAAAATACAGTAGTATTAAAACAACTACTGAGTTTTATACACGTACAATTAACCTCACTACAGAAAGAACATAACAATACATAATTTTATGTAATAATTTATTATATGTTAGTAAAATTTCATTTAGTTGAAATACAATTTCTTTTTCATGTAAAACATATTTAGGTACATTGGTTTTTTGTATTACATTTAACAAGTACTTTTAACAGATACAAAAATTGATAAAATACTATGATTTAATTTTTAAACAATTCAAAAATTTATAACCGTTTAATGACAAATAATGTAGTTTAATTTTAAATATTATAATATAACGTTATCTATACAGATAGTTTGTCACACTTTCTTAAAATTAAACTAATCTCTTCTAAGTGTTGTACATTTAGAAAACAATTAATAAACAATAAATATTTCATTTTTTAATCATTAATATGTTTAGTACATCACGCACGCGCACAGTCATAGGTGATTCTTTGTTTCTAAACATCGTGTAAATTCATAAATATTATTGATTCACGATATTATAATAATTCAACTATTTTGTAACCATCATTATGTATAAGAATGGTATGTACATAGTATTTGCACATTAAAAATAAGTTGTACTTATCTATTTAATGTACAAATATCAGATTTGGCATTAATTTCTTATAACAGTTCTGCTATTTCTCAACGTAATAAAGCAATTTTTTCTTTTCTATAAATTATTCAACAGTGATATACATTTAAAAACTTTTAAGTAAAAAATCTACAAATACACTGACACACATTAAAATATATAACATTTACATAAGTATTGTACCTATATAACAAAGTCTTGAAATATAGTACAGGTATATACATACAGTCCCATACTCTCGTTTTGAACTACTCAACATTTTTAAAAACTAACATTCATAAGAAAAGTATATTTAAAGCTAAGCAAACTAGTCTATACATTATGATAAATAACAAATTCTTATTCAGTATTTATGCAAAAATATGTTTCTTTCAATCTGACTAGTTACATAGTAAAATATTTGCCTCATTGGTTTTTTGTCAATTGGCACTTCATTAATGGAGATAATAATTTCTCTCTACAACGTGTTATACTATTAGTACTTCTACAACAATTACGACTAAATACTTTTTGCAATTGTTGTAACGTTTTTAAACAAATCACAACACAACAAGACCCACAATCATTGGGTTTATTGTCACAAAAACATTCTCTTTGTAAACAAGACATAAAATCATCTACTACCTTTGATGACACATGCTTTTTATTAATTTCTTGAATTTTATCATTTGAGCAATTTTGACAATTTTGTAAATAATCACATTTACAATCAGTACATTTGCATATATCTGCCTCGGCTGTGATTTCTTGCAAAATATTTCTACTCTTTTTTATTTTTATATTATCTCCGGTTTGTTTATCACTGTCGTTTTCTTGACAGTGTACAATTTCCGTACACGTATTAATGTTCTCTGCATCTACTAAGTTTACATTATCTACTTGTTGTAATGGATGTAACTGACTTTCTATCTGTAATGGATATGGTCCTGGTTCAACTAAATCAACTAACGAATGAACCGCTGTTGGAAAAGCATTTAATTCCGACCAAGACTGCCTCCTTAATGCGGATGGAGTTGCCATTGCCATGACATCTACCCAAGGAGAAGGTATTTCCTCCTCAGATGCTATGGCTAGTTCAATAGCTTCCGATTGCGTAGTTGCAATAACATTAGAATTCAATGCATGTTCAACTTCGTTTAGAGATCTAGTTCGTAAACTATCATTAATAAATGGTAAATTTTCTATCTCACTATCAAAGAGCTGAGTCTCATTAGAGGAACTAATTATATTTGATACATGACTAGTAACAGAATTTGCGTTATACAACGTTGCGTTATTGTTTTCACCAGTTACGCTTACATTTGCTTCATTATCGTAAACTTTATTGACAATAGTACTATCATCTTCATATTCTTGCACATCACTAGTGAAATCTGTACCTTCTGAGATATGAGCAATGGTATTTTGTAAACCATTTTGTATAATTTTTTGTTCTAAATTTATCGAATTAGACTTATTTTTATTATTTGCCTTGCTATCTTGAGTATTTGTGGAAGAATTAGAAGTATATTGCTGATTTTGATCTTGTAAATTTGAATCATTTACATCATTAAATATTTTAAATTTGTTATAATTTTCATTATTATTAAAATTATCAATTGCATGCTCAGTAAAATTATTTAACATAATATTTTCTGTTGTAAGTAGAGCAATATCTGTAGTTTTATTTAGATTTTCATTATCTTTATCAATAACATTATAATCGAGTTCTTTATTTAGTCCACTTTGACTTAAGATACCCATCATCTCATTCGTAGATGTTGACTGATCATTAGGATTTTCTATAGATAAATAAGTAATACTTTCCTTATTTTGTCCATTACTAGAAGATAATGGTATAATGGCATAACATGGCACATTTGTATTCGTTGATGTTATTTCATCAATATCGACTTTGATTTTCAATGTTTCACTATTTCTTTGGTTTCTGTAATCATCTTGATTGACTTCATGTTTCTGTAATAAAATCATACATGACACAAATATTCAAACATACATAATAATTCTATACAATTTTTTTATCTACCATTTCATTATTATTAACAGCTCTCTTATGGGTTTTCAAATGACTCTTTAAACTATGAGGTGTGGTAAAAGATCGTTTACAATTACCAACAGTACACACATAAGGTCGTTCTCCTGTATGTGTTCTCTTATGTGTTTTTAAATGATGTGATGCTGTAAAAGCCTTACCACAACCTTTTTCTCGACACCTAAAAAAGTATTTTATGTTTATATATATGTTTATGTTTTGCACAATTTATATTTATTGTATAAAATTTATTGTATTAATTTAATATGAAAATTAAACAGTGTAAAAATACATTTAAAATACTACTTCATTAATGTTGATGCAATTGTATATTAAGTTTTAAACAGTGTTTAAAATTTATTATTCATTATTAACTTTGTACATATATTTTAAAATATGTATTATACGTTTTCTTAGAAATAAGCAAAAAATAAATAATATTAAAGCATAATTGAGCACAAAGCCAGAAATAAGACTTAGTTAAGGAATATCGCAAAACATACTTGTAAGGTCTTTCTTGAGTATGAGTACGAATATGTTTCTTGAGATCACTTAAAGTAGTGAAGAATTTAACACATCCAGTTTCTTCACAATTAAATGTATTGCCACTATGAAGTCTTTGGTGAGCTCTCAGTCTGTAAAGGGTATTGAATGCTTTTTCACAGCCTTTGTGATTACATTCAAATGGTTTCACTTTTGTGTGTACCCTAATATGAATCTTAAGGCTGTACGACGTGAGAAATGCCTTGCCACAACTTGGTTCTGCACATTTAAATCGATACTCGCCTGAAAGTTTTGAGAATTCCCTCCACATAAAAAGTTTGCTGGACTACCTATTGCTTGCAGTATCTGAAAGCCATGCAGGTCGAAGCGTTCCCTTTATACCAGCATTGATGATTTTGTAACAAATAAAAAGTGTATATACAGCTTGTAAAGCATGAACATACTTTGTACATTCTTATTCATTAATAACAAAAAATATAACTCCAATAATGGCATTTCATAAGCTTACCTTATTTTCCTTAAGCTAAGCAAGCACAAAGAAAGAAAGACAATTTAATATGATATGTTATATTATAAGCACAACACGCAAGGTACGTAATAATTTTATCATATTATACAATTCAAATAACAATGATTTCAAAAAACGTTTAAGTATTATTATTAATGTTTTGAATTATTAAAAAGTATAAAATAAAATGGTTATAACATTATATTATAGTTAGAGTACTACAGATGTTAATAATACAAAAGCTTTATATGATACAAAATTAATACAAATTAGTATTATATGGCAGATACCATTTTTGAAATATTCACAATATTTGATTTTTATGAACAATTTATAAGTAAGATGTATATAAAACTTTTACCTTTATGTGTTTTCATGTGGGTCCGTAAATTTCCAACTGTACTATATGTTCTGTTGCAACCTTCATATTCACATGTATATCGACCAATATGTTTTTGACTAAGATCTGGTACTGTGTCTTCAACTTTAATAATAGCTGTTTTTGAAGATTCACTTGATGAAATATCATCTTGACCAGAATGAATACATGTATAAATTTCATGAGGATTAATTGAATAATGTGTTCTGTAAAAATATATGGTCTATAAGAATATATACAAGAGGTATGTTTATATGTATTTATAATTTTATTTATACGGAAGTATAAACTTAAATTTGTGATTCATTGTATCAACAAAACTATGATATCAAATATCAATTATAAGCAATATTCTTTTACACAATCACATAAAATAACTATAAGCTTAAAAAAATATTTGATTTTAAATATTACATTATAAATAAACAATAAACTTATAAACTCCAATCAGATAAGTCAGCCATATTACACAAATAAATTTTTCTCTTTTACATATGTGAATGATAAAATATTAATTAAGAAATATAATATAGAAAGAACAAAAAATATACAATTATTAAAATAGAAATACAAATTTTGAAGTGTAAAACATTTATGTTTTAAAACTAAAGAAGTATATCCTAAAGTGAGATTTAAAAAAAATACAACTATACATATGTCAAATATTATATGATTAAACATATATGATAAAAATATCAATAAAGTATTAGTGTCTAACATCTCTTTAATGTATATGTCAAAAATATTTAATGTTGAAAATTAACTATTTAACTTTAAAATATGTTATATCCTTATAAGGATGTCACATAAAACACTGTTTGCTATTATAAACGTACAGGTTATGAATAATTTATATTTTACTTATTGATTTTCTGTTTTACTTATAATTAGTGAATAAAAAATTTATATATATATATATACATGAAACAACACAAAAAATTTATGTGATCTTACTCAACAATATTATTAGATAGTTTTTCATCGATAGAGGGATCGTCATTAGAATATTTTTCATAATCAAACACAACATTCTGTTCATATACTTTTCCAAAACTCGTTTTTGTGCAAACAAATCATGAAATAACGTTAATGTAGATCCTCCACTAGAAATGATAAAACTTTTTGAGTCATTATATTAAACCTTGATTATTATATTGAATTTTTTCTTTCGATCAGATATATAATATTTCTATAATAATTTTAATTCTATGGTAGATAATTTTTATTTTTAAATAATTATTCAGGCATTATATTTATGTAAATTATATAAAACTATATGAAGTTGTATCTACAATATTGTTAACTACTCTAGAACTATATTATATAATGTTGTATTATATTATATTATATTATATTAATCATTAGTTAGATAAATACTAGATATGTATCTCAACATGCTTTTTGTCATATGATAACAGTTCTTATCAAGAATTCATAGTAATGAAATATTGAAAGAGGAAATGTTACGTAATTTTTAGTTTAATCTATATATAGGAATATATACGGAAAAATATTAAGGGAGTGTAGACTACAAAGTTCTATCGCATTGTATATTGTAAACACTGTTTACACATTAAGTAAACGATATGTGCACAAAAAAAATACCACGAATTCTTTCAATTCAAAGTCATGTAGTGTCTGGTTACGTTGGTAATAAAAGTGCAATATTTCCTTTACAGGTAAAAAATGTATTCATCAGCGAAGGTTGTATCATATTACATTTTCTTTCAAATTTTAATGACAATTTTTCACTTTTCATTCTACATTTATTTTTATATTAATTATATTTATATACAATTTCAATCGATGCACGCAAATGAACGTAAACTAATCGATGAATGGAAAAATATTTCATATAAGAAGAGAATGATTTCTGGTGAGGGGGATGGGGAGGGGGAGGAGAAGGGGGGAGGAATAAATATAGAAAATAAATTTACCAATTGTTTTGGTATAGAATAAAAAATATAGAATAACAATTTCTTTTATGTAGCTGTTGGGCTTTGAAGTGGATGCAATTAATTCTGTTCAATTTTCCAATCATACAAATTATAAAACTTGTAAAGGTCAGATACTAAATGATAAAGATTTAGGTAATAACAGATCTTTTGTTAAATGTAAGCAATAAAAAATAATTTTAATGAAATGTTTCAGAGTTTATGAATTATTTACAATTATTTTCCAGAGGATTTAATGAATGGTTTAGCACAAAATGATTTGGATAATTATACTCATTTACTCACTGGATATATTGGTACCGTTTCATTCCTAAAAAAAATAGTAGAGGTGGTTCATTCATTAAAACTTAAAAATCCTAATCTTATATATGGTAAATAATTTAGTAATTAAAAATGTTACTTGTTGCAAATATTAATCATCAATTTCTTAATACAAGTATGTGATCCTGTTATGGGAGATAATGGAAAAATGTATGTTGCTGAAGAATTGAAGGAAATTTATAAAAAAGAGATAATACCTTTGGCAGATATTATAGTACCAAATCAATTCGAATTAGAGTAAGTTTTACACATTATAAATTTCACATGAATTATAGATATAACACCATTGATTATTTTAGATTATTAAGTGACATGAAAATCAATACAATGTCTGAGTTACAAAGCAGCATAAAAAAGTTACATAAAGTTGGTCCTCAAGTAGTAGCTATTTCATCAATAGAAATTATTAAGGATAAATTAACATCAGTAATTAGTACAAAGAAAGGTAATTAACTAAAAAACTTAACATTTGAAATAAATAAAACTTTCAAAAATATTAAACTTATTTTAATTTCAGACAACAAATTAATAAAAATAGATATTCCAAAAATATCAATTAGTTTCACAGGTTCTGGAGATCTTTATGCTGCCTTACTTTTAGCTCACACATATTTACAAGATGATATGATAACTGCTATCGAAAAGACTACAAATTCTTTATACAGTGTTCTACTGAAGACTTATGAACATTTTCAAGGTACATGTCCATTTTCTTAGATAATTCTTAGATAAAGATGTAAAAAAAGGTAATTTTTTAAAAACCATTTATTAGCATGTCAAAATGAAGAATCACAGTTTGCAAGGAAAATTGAGTTACGTTTAATACAATGCAAGAATTACATTGAAAATCCAGAAATTTGTTTGTTTGCTAAACCATTTACATGGGCAAATTAAATTGTTGAAGAAACATATATACATCCAAACTATTGACAACCAATAATATTTGTTAATATATTTCATATGTACTAAGCTTTGCATTTGTTATAAATATAAATTAATTTTTTGATTCCATTTACTGTAAAATACATGCAAAGTATAACATAATTAATAAATATTTTAACTGATTCTAAAGATTAGATTCAATGTCTTCCATTGTAAAAATAATTATTGAATATATATTGTACAAATGATAAAACTTGATAAATAAAAGATATTTTTCACAATACTTTTGCATGTCAAAACGATTTAAAACCACATGTACAAATCGCAATAATGTGTAAGTTGCATTAAGTTATTCGCAATAATTTTTTAACGTTAGACGAGGTACAATATTCATAGATTGAAGTTCTTGAAAAAGTAATTTACAAGCATATGGCATAGAAATTGTAGAAACACATGAACTAGAACGACAACTATGACACCAACCGCTATATGCCATCAAACCACATTTGTTGCATACATCAATATCAAATACATCACTGGATATCATAAGTCTCTCTATCAACATCATACTAGCACCGTACCCAATCAAACAGTCTCGTTCCATTTCACCTAATCGTAAACCACCCTCTTTGGCTCGACCTTCTGTCGGTTGACGTGTTAATACAGCTCTCGGTCCTCGAGCACGAGCATGCATTTTGTCTTGTACCATATGTTTCAATTTTTGATAATATACCTTTTAAATAATATACTTATAATAATATATATGCTTAACATAAAACTAAATTTGAAAATAAAAATATTAACATACCGGTCCAGAATAAATATATGCTTGTAATGGTTCTCCTGTAATACCAGAATAAAAAAAATCTTTGCCCAAATAATTATAACCATGTTTTATTAATTCTTCACAAACATCATTAACCTTTGAGCCTCCAAATGCTAAATAAAAATAGTTGTTATAAATTATTTTAAAAATTAAGAAAAAAATAATTAATAAGCATACCTGTGCCATAGTGAAATTCTCCTTTTATAACACCAGCTTTTCCAGCAAGCAATTCTATTAATTTTCCTACTGTCATACGTGAAGGAAAACCATGTGGATTCATAATCATATCAGGGCATATACCATAATCATTAAATGGCATATCCTGTTGTTCTACGATTAACCCTGGATATCAAGGTAAACAGTAATACAATATATCTAAAGAAATTAAATGACAAAATATTTGTAAACACGTACCTGTTACACCTTTCTGTCCATGTCGACTACTAAATTTATCACCTATCTCAGGTCTTCGAGTTTGTCTTAATAATAATTTTATCAAAAACGCATCTTCTGCATTACTAGAAATCATAACTTTCTCAACATAAGCAGGGACAGGACCTTTAAAAACAAGTGGAACGTCTTTATATTCCGTTTCCGCTTGAACATTACCAGAATTCACTGGACCAATATTTGCGGTCGGCGATGATTTATTTACCATGACCTATAAGAAAAAGAAATGCATCAATTCATTATTCATTTAAGTATATTTTATTTAATTAATATTTAAAAATGGACCTTTCTATTTTCCACCATTTCTCCAGGTGCAGCAATTCCATCACTATCTATCACTTCATGTTTCCAAACAGATTTCTTTGTATTGGAATCAATCAATGGACCCATTATTCGATCATATGTTTGATTAGCATATCTCTTTAATGTACATTTTGCATTTTTATATATTAAACATCTTCCAAATCCCCTATCAATTGAAGCCTTGTTTAAAATAAGAGCATCTTCAATATCATAACCACTATAAGACATAACAGCTACTATTGCATTTTGACCAGCAGGTAGTTTATCAAAGTTTATCAATTCTATTGTTCGGGATTTCACCATAGGTGTTTGCGGATAGACCAAATTATACATCAATGTATCGATACGATTACGTTGATTATAACCAATAGTTCCCATTGCTTGTTTTCCCATAGCACATTGATAAGTATTTCTGGGACTTTGATTATGATGTGGATATGGTACTAAACCAGCGCAAACACCGAGTAATGTAAACGGTTCAATCTCTAAATGTGTTGTCTTCTCATTAATGTGCGATTCATTGAAAGCAATAGAACTATCATTTTCTTCATTCACATCCAAATACTCAATCAACCCTAATAATGAAATAATAATAATATTAAATATATACACGATTCAGTTAATTCTATTCTTTACTATTACCATTTTGTAAAAAATCTTCGAAACTTCGTATTCCTCGTTCAAGTAGTTTTATATGTTCTTCTTGTAGAAGAGGTTTACAATTCTGAACAATAATATATGGTCTACATAGTCGTCCTCCGTCAGAACTAATTTGTATACACCTATGAATAAGTTAATAATTATAAAGGATTGTAATTTTATGTATTAGTAAAACTTTCGAATTAACATTACCTATGCTGATGCTGAGTATATATAGAAACAAAACCATTTATTAAGCCTTTCCTCCGCAACAATCTAAGGATATTTACCAATCTCTGATAGTTTTTTATTACACCCAGAATATTACCATTCAAAAAAACTATGTATACGTTTCTATTATTGATTTCTTCTCCACCAAGTAAGTTAACGTTTTCTACTCCCAGGTTAAAAGCTAATCTAGTAATTGGTTCTTCATCAATTTCAGTAGTAATATGTGTCATAAGAGCTAAGTTTTTAACTAAACCACAACCCTGTAAATATGTTTGTATAAATAATAATATTAAATATTATAATTAATAATCCTCATTAAAATATATGTAATAACAACCCCCTCCCACCCACAGACAGAGGGGGAGAGGATCTGTTGATATGTATAGTATATATTACAGCTTATTTTGTATTGCAATAATCCTTTATAATAATATATGTATAAGATATACACAACACAACTCAGTGTTGTCATGAGGTCAGACGAATGTGTAAATAGTATTTAGTATTGCATTATGAATGTATCCTGTCTGTATCTAGTGCTAAAAAGGAGAAAGAAATAAAAGGAAATAATACTAACTTCTCCTTCAGGGGTATCACTAGGACACAGCATTCCCCATTGAGATGGTTGTAAAGATCGTGGACCTGATACTTTTCTTGTTTTTTCAAATTGCGAATTAACACGTGTCATCATACCAAGTGCCGAAATATAAGAAAGCCTAGATAGGACTTGAGTAACTCCATGTCGCTCCATTTTAAATCGTTTAATTGTCCAATTACCCTATTTAATATAATTTTTTATACAATCTGATCTTTAAAATTTCTTTATTCTGCATATTGATTTATCTTATTTACTTACGGATGATATGGCAAAAGCTAATCCATTAGTAATTTGATCTTGTCTCATATGTTTTACAATATCAAATTGTGCAGCTTTAATTTTTGGTATATTTTTATCAGCTATTTGCTTTAGCTATAAATTTGAAAATCATAATGTTTGTTATGGTTTTTAATGGAAATAATTCAATGTTGTAACATACTATATTACCTCCCAATTAAATCTTTTAAATAAATCTTCAAACATCAAAGACAGTAAAGAACCAGCCAGCTCTAATCGCTTGTTACCATAATAATCTCTATCATCTACAAGTTTTTCATCAGATTGTGCTTTCATAACTTTACGAATCATTAAAGCAATATAAGTTGCTTTCATTTTAAAATTAAAACCTATGACCTGTAAGATTAGATATCATAGTAATACCATTTTTGATATTTTATTATTTTTACAACTTATTAAATTACCAACAGGAACATGAGATAAAATATTAGTTGCTAATATATCCTTCATTTCATCAGTAATGCTGGATTTTATCACTGAATATCTTTTTTGCTTTCTTTTATTGCTGAGAAACCTGAAATATCGCTTAAAATTAATGTTCATAATATTAATATCTCTTTTATCAGTGTAATACCTTAATGCCTGATTTTGAGCAAACACATTTAAAACATGACATTCTTCTAAACTGCATGCAAATTTTCTCATAAATTCTTCTTCCGTACCAATAAGTTGCATAATTTCTTGATCACTCACAATTCCCATTGCTTTAAATATTATTGTCACAGGTATATCCTAGTTATATATTTCTATTTTATAAAATATAATTAAAATTTTAGTGTGTAATTATAATATACTTACATCTTGAAAAATATTATGTCTCATATAATATTTTCCACCTCTGCCTACAACATTAGTTTTGGTTTTTCTTTCATGTGTAGAACTATTACAAGATGCTACAATACATCCTTTACTATCTTCTTCTAAAATAATTCTATTTCTAAGCATTTGTTCTTGTATCAAAATTACTTTCTCTTGTCCATTTATTACAAAATAACCACCAGGATCATGTGGACACTCATTCATTTTTGCCAATTCAAAATGAGATTTACCAGTTAATATACAATTTGAACTTCTTAACATAATAGGCATTCTAAAAAAACATTACGTGATATTTATTAACATTTTAAAGATATATTCTAGTTTATACCTTCCAATCAATAAATTATTTTTTATTATTGGTTGATGGCCTCTTATATATTCGATATCAACTGTGATAGGTGCAGAATAATTTAAATCTCTTAAACGACATTCATGTGGAGTTGTAGGACGTGTCACATTAAAACCTTCATCAACATCAGATGAACCAACATGTACATTTAAATATCTATTGAAAATATATATATATATATATATAATGTAAGATACAACAGATTGATGTATGAAATAAGAGTGCTTACTTTACATAAAATAAAGGGTCAGCATCACTAATTACTTTTTCATTTGCTTTCACAATCTTCTTTATTTCCACATTTATAAAATAATTAAAAGAATCTATATGTTGCTTAACTAGACCTTTTCCTTTAAGAAAAGCAGGTACAAGTTTCCACTTATCCTATGAAAATGTAGTTTCATAATTTATACTTTATAATAGATTTCTTGAAATAAATTATATCAATTTTAACCTTTCTTTCATACCTGAATGTGTTTTACAACTTTATTGTATTTTTCTTCCGATTTAATACGTTTATGGAGATAAATTTTCATTTCACCCATTTTTCCATTTATGAAAGATATAAAATTATAATATTAAAATTAAAAACCTTGATAACGATATAATTTTATAACTATTCGTTGTTAACTCGACTTAACAGATTATTTTCATAGTATCACTAAACACGTAGAGCAGCATAAATTTATAAAATTGAATTTGAAAATTGAATAACTATGAGCTAAGGAGAGTGATACCGATGAGCCAAAGTAATCATAGTTAATGTAACAAAGAGACATTATATATGAATGAAGCATGCGCACACACATACACACGTGCACGCGCGCGCGCACGCACGCACACGCATACGAATTAATATGGTTATTAGTATACAATTTCTTTACAATTGTTAGAATTAGAATTTCAAATTATTAGAATTTTAAAAATATGGAATTTAGCATTAATAAATTTACGAGATCACTTTTATGGAACCTATTAAAATCGAAAAATAAATTTAATGTAAGATATTCTTCGCAACATTTCAAGATAGATGATAATATTTTTGGATTAAATGAACAACAGAAAGAGGTTAGTATAATTAAAATTATGTTATCATACTAATATTATCAAAATTGATACTTAGATATTCGATATAAACAATATTTCAATAATTAATAAATCTGAAGTTATATTCTTTTCATTTGTTTTATTGATTAGATTAAAATTAATATTAATATATGTGTTAATAAAAAAAGAAACAAATTATTATATTTTTGCAGCTTCGGCAATTAGTATTTAATTTTGCACAAAAGGAACTTGCTCCAAAAGCGGCCGAAATTGATAAGAAGAATAATTTCGATGAACTTCGAGTAAGCAGCAGAATATTTTAAGAAGTGTAAAATTTGATTTTGGGCGTATTTACTATTTAAGAATTATTTTTAGGAGTTTTGGAAGAAACTTGGCGAATTAGGTTTATTAGGAATAACAACAAAATCGGAATACGGTGGAACAGGTGGTACATATTTAGATAATGTTATTATTATAGAGGAATTGAGTAGAGCATCAGCAGCCATAGGTCTTAGCTATGGCGCCCATTCAAATTTGTGTATTAATCAAATCCACAAAAATGGAACGGAAGAACAAAAATATAAATATTTACCAAAGGTAATATACGTAAATAAATTTGATTTGTATTTTACAATGAATATTTAATGTATCTAGATTTTATATAGTTATGTAGCGGAGAACATATCGGAGCCCTTGCGATGTCAGAATCGACATCCGGATCTGATGTAATTTCTATGAAATTGCGAGCTCAAAAAATAAGTGATTATTATGTGTTAAACGGTCATAAATTTTGGATTACGAATGGTCCTGACGCTGATATTTTTATTGTTTATGCAAAAACGAATCCAAATGCGACTAAACCACAACACGGTATCACAGCATTTATCGTAGAACGAGGTTTTGAAGGTTTTAGTACAGCTGAAAAGTTAAATAAACTAGGTATGCGAGGTTCTAACACTGGTGAACTTGTGTTCCAGGATTGTAAAGTGCCTGGTAATTTTTCTTTTTTTTTTAAATTACGCAATAAATAGCTTAACATATTCTTACACTTTACTCTATAAACTATTATTATACATTGTAGCTAAAAATGTACTCGGACAAATAAACAAAGGTATTTATGTGCTATTTAGTGGTCTAGATTTGGAACGTATGACGTTAGCAGCAGGTCCTTTAGGGTAAGATTTTCTGCTTTGTAGTTGCATAGTAAATGACGTTTTACAAAGTACTGTAATTTAATATCATATATGTTAGGCTTATCCAGGCTTGTTGCGATGTGACATTTGACTATGCTCATATGAGAAAACAATTTGGAAAACGAATAGCAGAATTTCAGATGATACAAGTATAAAATGATGAAATTTGTTGAATTTATATATAGAATTTTAAAAAATTAAAAATTAACATTAACATTAACATTTTAGGAAAAAATAGCAAATATGTATACGAGTTTAAGCGCTTGTAGAAGTTACTTGTACGCTGTCGCTAGATCTTGCGACGCAGGACACATAAACCGGAAGGATTGTGCTGCGGTAATACTTTACATTGCCGAGTGTGCAACTAAAACTGCGTTAGATGCAATTCAAATACTCGGTAATAATTCTTAATCTTCTTTAATGAGATTTGAATGTTTTCTGAAATGTATGCAAACTTTTAGGTGGAAATGGCTACATAAATGATTATCCTACTGGAAGATTTCTAAGGGATGCTAAATTATATGAAATTGGTGCTGGTACCAGTGAAATTCGTCGGATAGTAATTAGTAAAGCAATTAGCGAAGAATATTTATAAATAAAAATATTATGTTTTTCATTTTGAATCTCATAAAAAAATTATATTTTAAATATCTTATTTAAAATGGTGTATATATTAAATTTTTATAATATCAATTTGTAACATATCTTTCCTTTAGAGATCACAAATAAAAGTGCATGTTAGATTTACTGTAAATTGTTTTATTATGTATCCACATAAACCGAACAGTTGTTTGAAATTTCTTTCAATTTAATTGCCTGCTAACTTTACTGACATCAATATCTTTAACAATTAACGATTTGATTGAATTATTGATAAATAATTTATAAGTAATTAGTATTACCGATTTACATATCATTAAAGTTAATATGTGTACACTTTCTTAGGATTGTGTAAATCGAGATAAATGAGTCACTAGAACGACACACTCTTAAAACTATGATTGACTAACCTTTCGCGCTATAGGTTGCTAATTTAAGTCAAACTTACGTACACTCTCTTTCTCTCAGTTTAGTGCACGTACTCTCTTTTAACTATTTCTCTTTCTTCCTTGATTTAGTCTCATTAATCACAGTGCAGTCGAACTAATTAGATCGAAACCACATAGGGGAGAGAAGCATTCAAGTATTCGTAGACGTCATCTAATGAAAGAGTAAAGAAAGTGCGATTGAGAATTTTTGTGAAGCAAAGATGTCTCTTAAGTTTTCCATAAGTAATTTTTATGAAACCTATGTGAGTACATAGCAGCTTGATCAAATCCAACATTCTTCTTCATTTAATTTTTTTTATAATTTACGTTGATACAATCCGATGGACTATACTTTACCCCGTATTGTTATTTATTTTTTTCCTTAGTACTTTTCCTTCGTGAATTTGAGGAGGAGAATCCATTATAACTGATAAATGTGTTAATAAATAACTTACGTTCAGTGTCTAATTTTGTATATTCATTCAATATCCGTCAACAAATTCCTGATTCTGTGTACACATATATAATTAAGAATAGTTATACGTTAACAATATGTATTTTCCTTTTATTTGTCATTCAAAAAATGCTTTATAAGGACAAGATTACTCCAAAGAAGTGATACTCGCGGTAAAATGTTACGAAGAATTTATAGTATCAGAGTATTTAGTTTCATTTAAGATCATTAGTCCTATCGGTAGGTATGGCAAAGATAGGGAGGCCGTAAATGCCAGAGAAATGAGTGCAGGTCGGGCCAGAACAATACACACAGTATGCCAATTTGAAATGGGGGCAGAATAGCAGAAGTGGCGGGCCGGTAGTTGGGTAACTAAGCTCGTAGAAGTAAAGTCTGTCAAAATCAAGTGGTGGTACAGCCAGTAGTTCTCGTTGACCAGCAAAGAGCGCAAGCAAGGCTTCGATATTACCTCGATTCGCACTAGATTCGTATCGTTTCGATCTCCCTCAACGATTTCACAGCTTACCAGTTTCCTCTTTCGATTTGAGAATCTTTTTTTTTCTCGTTCTGTTTCCTTGTCAACCTGCTCGCAACTTTCGATTCAACGATCGATCTCGATTTGTGTTCGTTATAAACACGCGACTGCGTTCTTCTGACAGACAGAATAGAGCATGACGAGGAAACAAACGGTGATCGTGAAACTTAAAAGATGCAGTACCGGCAAACCTTGGGGAATTCGTATCGCCGGAGGCGCTGATTTGGGTACGCCGATCGTCATCACCCGCGTGAGTTCTTTCAATCCATTTCTACTATGCGATTTCACCTGATATCTGTTGCGGTCTTCTGCTATTAGGTGCACACAGTTTACTACTTACAGTTATTATTAGATCCGCGGCAAACCTCTTTCTATAACAGAAAACGACAAAGAACGAAAATTATTTTCCAATGTTCATAAACTATTGCTTATATACAGCGATATCATTTGAATCGAAAATACATTTCAATGTTATACGAAAAGTTTGCGTCTGCTAATTGATACCACGATTTTTAAACAAACATAAAGCTCGTAGATTTCATTATATACATGTTAAATCGTAATCATGTCTAGCCGACACAAGTAACTTAATCTCTTGCATCTTAACCGCCTCGACTGCATTCTTCCTGGCATGATCACTAAACGAAGCAGAGGGAAATCGGAAATACATCTGAACGTGATCCAAATGTTTCTATTGATTATGAATAATTGCATATTAGCTTGTACTATATAATTAAATAAAGATTATTCGTATTTGTGCTTTTAAAATTCACTTGCAACATTTTGTTGTTAACACAACTAACGTAGATTAACAAACAAAAATTTTAATAATTTTATAACATTTAACGTTTGTTATTTGCAGTAGTATAATCGGTGAAAGTCAAATTAACGCTGTTTTAGTTATTAAAAAAACGACCCTTGAAATGTATTTTTCATTGTACGTAATTTGACCAATAACAAATGTTCGAAAATGATCGATGCGTGGTTACGTTACGATGAAATTTGTATTTGCAGTCGGAGAACGAAACGCTCCAGAGGGGTGACGTGATCAAGAAAATCGACGATTACGATGCACGAGATGTCAGGCATGTAGACGCCCAGAATCTTCTTCAAAACTCTGAATCAATAAGGCTCGTGGTCGAAAGGTCTGAGCCATCGAATGCACCTCGTATCGACATTACCACGTCATCTCCGATTATTGAGTCGAACACTGGCGACAGGGCTGCGGTCACTAGTCTGTCAGAAAGCAATTCCACCTTTGTTATTATGCGCTTGATTTATCGCATCACTATCTACACGCTACTATCGCTACGTAACTTGACTATTAACACTTCATTGTTAACGTGTTAAACCTGTTCCTTCTATCTTTCTTTTTTTCTCTATTTTTTTTCCTTTTCTTCATTTTTACACGCTTTAATCGCAGTGCCTGATTGACAGCTCGCCGCATCAAGAAACATCATCGTTATCTCGACAATCACTTTCTCATTTCCAATTCCAATCAAATTTTTCGAATCTTTTCTACTGCAAAACAAAAGACAGCTTTACAAAATCGAAATATAAAGGAAAAAAATATAAATATAAATACAAATAAATATATATATACACACACACGCATAGATATATATTTATTAAACTAACGTTTATACTGCTCAAAGGTTAAAAGTAGAATAGAACATTAACCTTAATATAAAGTTTGATTCGCTTTTAAATTGCTAACATTAAAACCCTATTGTTTTGCAGTTGCATGCACTGCTAGAACGAAATATGTTATATTCTACCGCGTACAAATACGTAAAAATGCTTGAAAGTGATCGTCGAAAATATCATGGAGGCTCCCGTGAGAGGAATATTTTTTACATTGATTCGTTAGTAAGATGCTTTCCCATTCCGCTATAGAGCTAAACAACCGAAAGTACCGTCGGCATTACCGAAGAGTCCCATACCGCCGCCTTCGACCGACGAATACAGTCGGCCAACATCACCGGAAAGCCTTAACTTACCACACGAACATCTCGATGAGGTTCGCGAAGAGAGAGCCTATTTGTCGCAGGTACTTTGAATAGATACACTTTGAAACACGAACTCGTACAGAAGCAAGCAAATTACGACTCACAAGAGTTTCTACCGTAATAAACTGGTTCGATACATATTTAACGCATATCCGAGCATATGACTAATGGTCGAGTCAAAGTACTTGCTTGCTTCTATTTTATTTAGGTTAATTTTAGCAAGTGCACTTCGAAAAGAAATTTAACCCACATTCAGTATTTCTTCAAAGACAACGATAGGAGTAGATTCGATTGCAACATCGATTCATAAATGTGAAATAGAAACTACTTTCTAACACTTTAATTTTGAAAATGTAAACGCCGCCTTAAAGGTTAGTTTAAACTTTCAGGGAAGTTCGTTGACTCGTAAATACGTGCTACCAAGAAAAGCGCGTCATGCATTTTTACAATTTTTGAGTGTATTCGTTAAAACTTTTTAATAGTTCGTTCGTCTTTACGAACGAATACGATCTTTTTTTAATACCCTATTACGTATTTTAAATTGTCGCTTCGTCACCTTTATGCGAGTTAGAATAGATTTTGAGGTTCCTGAAGCTATGTAGAGTGAACGTCATTTAACAAATTATTTAAGATCGATAAAAAATTAATAGCCGACCATTTAAAAAGGAAGATCGAGAGGTAATCGACGACGATTAACAGACATCGAATAAAATGTCGAAATTATTCGCTAACTACATATATATAACACAGTCTGCACCTGTGCGTCTAGGAAAGTAGAACGTTCTTTGATCATGGCTGAAAAAAATGTGGTTAAAAATTGTATTAGGGAAAAGGAAACAATAGAGAAAGCAAAAAAACACTACAATAATTACATTAAACATCTATATTTGACTGATAATTCTTGGAAACTAATCGGAAACGATGTTTTTTTTCTTTGGCAAGTAAAACTATCGCATAATATCGTACCTCGTAAGGAATTTATATACCGCGCAGACAACAACGTAAATTATTGAATTTCAAAGTACACGGTAGTTTGCATTTGGCAAGTTGCACACCGTTCCGAAATAAATCGGACACTTTGAAATTCAATAACTCATAGTTGAATCACCAACAAGGTATAGGATGACAGTATATTTGTCAAACTTAATCCGCTATTTCCGCATTCTATTCTGAGGTGTCGATAAACTGTAAGATGCATTTAATTTCGATTGAAAAGAAGAAGTTAACGTTGTACATTAATATTAACGAACACGCGATCGTTTAATATAACTGTCTGTCGATCAGTTAATCGAAACGTTAAGATTACTGTTCATTTATTTATTAGCTTTTAATCCGGCTGTTAATCCGTTCACTTATCCGGTAATCTTTTCTACATAGTACTCCGACTTCTTTACGCGATCATCTGCTTATACCCCTAGCGGAAATTTTAATAAGAACGCAATTGCCGTTGACTTCGTTAGATGGAATCACCGTCGGCGGAGATTTAGAAAGCCAATAGCATATGTAATAGTTTCATGAGAAGTACGAAAACGTTGGATGTTCGATGTTCGAAGTGTGAATATATTTTTGTTGGCCCGCCACGATGCCGGAAAGTCCACGTAGAGGCAGTTGCCACGCTATAAATATCGCTTTTGCATCGAAACCACTGCTCTGATCCAATACTACGCGATCCAGGACGATTTCGCTACACTATTTCGATTCTAGTCTTCACCCAAGAATACATATTCTTATTGTTCTGTCATCGATTGCAACATCAAAATGTCGCTCTAAGGAGATTTCAGGAGGACTGCTACACGCTAACCATTGTACTTCTGTCATATCGCAAAATAAACAGTTCTTTAAGTACCAAAGGTCTATGAATACTTTAAAGCAAAGGCAATAGCGTAACTCATCGCATTTATGTCAAATATTAACAACGAAAAAGGATGCCATGTTGGAAAACAGTTTACTCGAGGTTTCGCGACAGCGATATTTATACAAGATCGGAAAATACTGTGAACTGCATAGGAAAGAATGAAAGACAATAGTAGCGAGCACTCGTAGAAAGTAAACAGAGAATTTGAAACAAAAGTTGAAAAAAGTAAGAAATTAACTCGATGGTAATATATTTAAATAATAATTGGTATTTTAAATCTAAAATTTTAAGAATATTTCCAAGCTTTTTCAGGATTTGGTACGAGTCCAAATGTGACACAATCGATCAAAAATACACGCAAATGGAAGTCGAAATAAGAAAGAATTATTGAATAAATTGATTATAAATTAATATGCCTACCGAAGGAATCATTACGATAAAGATCTTTACTCAGACGAAGATTCTAAAAGCAATAAAAACCATTGTAGAAATAAATAGATAATGGCAGGAAGATCGTAATGTCGATCAAGAGGGTAATACGTAGGAGTGATCGAGATACGTCGGTAATACGTGGAGAGGAGAAGAAAGAGCGCGAGAGGAGTCGCGTGGAAAAGACCAGAGTTAGTGCCGCCCGCGCAACGAGACAGTGCGTTAGCGAATATTCGTCAGAGAGGTCAATAAGGAAAAAGTGAAGTAACTTCTAGTTGGAAACGAGAAGAAAGGGAAGAAAAAAGAGACGATCCTTCCTTGAAAGTGCCACATCATTTGCAGGAATACGAACTGCGGTTCGATTAGAAAACGATGCCGGCTTATACGACCGTTTATCGTCACAACATCGAACAGCAGCCGAAAGAGGAGGAGGCTGCTGTGTTTTGGGTACGAATTAGTCAATTAAAAATAAAGGAAATATATTCGATGTTTTCTCGAATATCGATAATTCATCGTTATCGTAATATTTCTAATTCATTTAATTAATAGGAACATAACGATTAAGTTCGATCGCCGATTCATCCAATTGTTACAACGATCGTTCGTCTTTTGAATTATCGATGCTCGACGGAAAGAGATGTTTTTCGTTCAAAGAGAAGAATCTCGGGCATTCTTAATATTATGCGAGGATTGCAAGCCCATAAGTATACGCGATAATTTAACTGCAAAATATCATAACATCTTTCGAAATGAACTAGCCCAGTGTGTCGGGAAAGGCGGGCAGGCTGCGTTCTTCTTAATGCAACATTCTTCCTCGTATTTTGCTCCCGTATAGGTAGTGATACAAACGGTTATTTTTATAATAACTGTTTTTGCAATAATGAACCTTAAAATATGAATCAGCTATTGAAATCGAGCACCTATTAGAAAGAAACGTAACATAAGATGATCTAGATTTCGAATTACGTCGCCGTGTGCCAACCTTGACACCCTCCGTAAAAGTAGGGCTAGGTCTTGATCCTATCCCAATGACATTGAAAAAGTTAAAGAAGCAAACTTTCATAAAGCTTATGACAAAATGTGGTGTACATTTTAAGAGCGAATGCAAGGGAAAGAAGAATGATTCGGTGGAAAGGAGAATCACACCACGGGTATGACTGACTAATAACACGATGCAATAAAACGCATGTAAGCATGTTACGTGCTATTCATTGGTATCTTATTCTATTTTCGTAAATGAGATCTGGGTTAGTCAAACACAAAAGGGTCATACAACGACACCTCTATAGCTTGTCCCTCTTGACTCTACGCAGAGTTTTTTCTTTGAAGAACTATTTCTGTAACTTTTAGAAATTGTTATTATAAACTAAGAGAAAAGACACGACGAAAATATACAGGAAAATTGTCAAGGTTTGGAAATATTTTAAAATTTATATACGATAAACCATTGAAACATTTATTATCTTTTATAATTTTGTCAACAGATTCTAGAAAGTTTTCTTATTGTTAGAGTTCAAGTTTCAGTACATCTCTACCGAGCCAAAAGATGAATGCTTTTCGAAACAACCGTGTCCGAATATAATTCGGGGACATTTTGTAAAATGACGTAGAAATAGCAACTTTCTTCTCTGAAATAATCCATTGTCTATGAACAATGTAGACTTGTTCGATGGAAAATTATGAAATATTATTTTTAACTTTTCTTTAGTTAAAGAATCGATAAAGATTAATAGATATTTGACAAGCATTGATCGAGACGAGATGAACGATTTCTTAGTAGACGAGGTACGTGTTATTTTTGCCGGCTAGGGGCCTTCATCTATTTCGAGAGAAATACCGATGCTCACCCTGTAAAATAATGTTTCTGACCCATTTATAATGAAATAGTTATAATCGTTATTCGAGACGATCTCGTAAAATCTATGGTTGCATCGATCGTTTTCAATCGTTGATTCCGTTCCGAACTTCGTTGAAACAAAGTCGATGGTGGCTGGATTCAAATTCGATTTTCTATTCTTGCAAGCGAGTCTTATAAATACGACGCGTAACCTTATCCTGCCGTTCACGATCTTTCTACATCGTTCCACTTGACATTCTCATTTTCGTCATGTTTCAGCAATGACGACAGCCGATCAAAGAACATCAAGCTTTTAAACAAATATGAAGCTCTTACATCTCCATAGCATCTCCTGCGAAATTTCCTTGATCTTCTCAACTCGGCTTTCTCCTTTGTATTCCTGTAAATTGTATTTTTAATAATTTCGTAATCCCGTGTAAAACGAGCGATAGATAACGTAATCGTGGGAAATACTTGGCAAACAGTATTCGTAACACTAGTTTTATGCAATTTTCCCACTGTACAGATACGAGCCAAGTACTTGAAATTTAAGTCGCTTTGTTCCCTTAAGTCCCTTTCATTCGAGGTTAATAGTCGTCGAGCACTATATTCCATAAAGTGTATATTCGCTTCCGACTATACACCAGAAAATATAGTTAACAGTTGGATCAAAAAGATTACGTTTGCTCCTGTTCCAACGCAAGAATTATTACTTGTGCAAAAAGAAGAAACTAACGTATCGATATCGTGATATGCAAATGATCGATAATTTATTCTCGATCATTTGCAGATTGTATTCATAAATGTAAAACTGCATAGGATACTTTATTATCGTAAAAGAGTCAGAAATTAACGAGATATAATCGATGCCCGATCGCGTGGCCTCTTAGGATAGACTTATTTTAGATTTTGTTAGTTGGTAATTGACATCGTTCTAACAGGACATTCCACGCGCCTACTCAGCTCCTTAAGAACTTTTGCTTCGACTATATGTGATATATTAATTATTCTTATTATCTAAACGTTACGTTTTTTCTTGTTACTGAAAACGCAGTTATGCAAGTTAAATTGATAAACAGCAAAACATAAAGGTGATACTATGTGATTGGAATACTATAGATGTCGTCGATTTTTAGCCATACCGCACAACTCCTTTGGTCTTGCCAGGTGCAAAGATCAAAAAGGATGCTCCGCTTGGAGAGTGCTACTTGCGCCATCATCCAAATCCGATGATCAGGGCGGCACCGCATCATTACGAATCAGCTCACCCCGAAGTTGCTATGAAACAAAAGGTGCGTTTTATTCAATCTTGTAATATAAATACTTTGTTTGCAAAAAAAAAAGAAAATCGTCCTATATTTCGATTTTCTTGAATGAGGACGAATTTTTCTTGGCGTCGTAGAATCGATAAATATTATGTAAAATCGATATTAATTTGTAAATATATTTTATACAACGTCTGATTAGGTGGCAGAAACGGTACTTCAACGTGTCTTGGGACCGAATGAAGTTCCAAAGGTTTGGATTACTTTATTCTCAAATTGCTTCCGCTTTCATGGTCATTGCTTCCGCTTTGAGCAAAAATGATCGTGTTTTAACCGTGGAAATTTTTCGGAACCCCTTATGAACGTCAATTATATAACGTGGCATGCGATCGATATTTTGTCGCTAATTAATTATCAAATGATCTGTCGATCCATTGGAGAAATTCAAATTTGCATATTGTTTTTTCGAGAAATTCTTCTAACCAAACTTGTTGTTAAGTTTAGATTTGTACACGATCCTCGCCAAAGAACTAAATTCAAGGATTTATTATCAAGTTATAAATAACTAAACAAACGATTCATCAAATCCATATCGAAGCATTATCAAATAACTATTAGTTATTAGTTACATGCATTATCACGATGAATTGCAACATTCAAACTAATATTTTCAACATGTATAACGGTAAACTTATGACTTACTTTATGAAATTGGAAACATCCGAAGTTCGACATTTAAAAAGTAATGTAATTTATTCAATGAAAAGAAAAGGGAAAAGCAACGATACTGTTTTAATTAATTTACAATTATTGCAACTATTGTTTATTGTCTTATTCAATTTCGTTCGTAGGTTGTGCACAAGCAATTTAACTCACCGATTGGGCTCTATTCAGAACAAAATATTGCCGACACTATAAAGTGCCAAACATCCGCTATACCGTAAGTAACAAATAAATTTTCATAAAACATAGGTTACCGCCGTACAGCTTGCAGTAGCATAATAAAGTTACTAGTATTAATAGTATTGGATTTTTGCTGAATGCTGCTACTTATTAAATTATTAACTCTGATCAGTTATAATCTTGACGCCATTAACATTAACGGATATTTTAAAATTATAACTCGAATAATAAGTGCATCAGAAGAATGATCCATAATATACATGCAAGGGACATTATTTGGAAGTTCTAAGTCGAGGACTTTTCAATTTGTTGGCGATCAACTGCCGGGGACGTGATCACAACGGCAAAGTATGGACGTAGAACAGAAAACGCAGCTCAGTTCTTACATCGCTGTCTCTTTTTCAAATGGATAACACTCACGTGCAGTTTGTTTGTTTTCCAGCATTTTCATAGATTTTTCCTTCGTGAAACAGAAACAGGAAATACAGGAGCAAGCGAGAATCTTGAAAGAGCAGGCCAAGGCCGCCTCCTCGAAGAATGTGTGGCCGCAATTCAATAAACCAAATTAATATCCAGTTTGAGACGTTTTCGATGCTTCTCACGCTCAGTATATTTGTAGTTTCAAGCTCTACTCAATTTTCATATAAATCATTGGTCACGTTCCTTGTCTCGAAATTATCTCTCTTAAAATCGGTCATTAATGGAAGTAATATTTACAGCAGTAAATAAACTTTATTTTTCATTTCTTATAATCGGATAAACGAGCGTGGCCACTGATCCGTAATTGAGCTTTCGATAAGCGTTCGATAAAGTGTTTACTCTAGTGTTTTACAGTTTAATATCTGTAAATCATAATTAGGGCCGTGACATGTCTATTTCAGTTTGTATAGTAATATCTCGAGTAGAGTCGATAATATTGAGAAAAAACATAGAAGGCAACTTACAGAAAAAGTTTGTAAAATAACAATACTATACATTTGCATGCTGTACCATTGAAAGTAATCAATAATTAATCACAGTAAATGTACATGCATATAAGTAGCCTTACTAATTTTGATACTCATACAATGAAGAGCAGTTCTCGAGAATTACGAATATTTAGAAATGAAAGCACTTATCGACATATGTTCGGTGTATTTTAAATATAAGAATTGAAATAATGCGTAATTCTCGGGAAAAGGCATCGGAAATTTAGTTGGGACATATTTGTGACTCGATTAATGAAAAGGGCATGGAAGCGGTCCGAAAGTCGCTCTCGAACAAACAATTGGCGATATAACTCTGGCTGCTGCTAACCGATCTGTCAAAATCGAGGCAAATGAATTAAAAATAGTCCGTGTGTACACATGCGATACAATGGTACAGCCCGAAGAAACCAGTGAAGTACGACCCGAGTAAAAGCGAGGCTTACAAGGCTCTACAAGAGGAAGCTCTCGGTGATACGGTGCAGGAAGTAAAACAACCAACTCGCACCGGTGTTTTCTCCCCACAAAAGGTTAACCAAAATAGGGTATGTAATGAACTAAGTTAATTTCATTTAGAGTTAAATTTAAATTTAACAATTTTATAAAATAACATTTTCAGGTATACCACGCTCGACCAAAGAGTCCCGCCGGACCATACGTAAGTAATATGTGTATACCCCGATATTGGGATATCAGTGTCATTTATTCGTATTATATCATGATATTATGTAATTCTTAATTTTTATGAAAAATTGTATTACCATTAACTATTAACGTTTATGAGTAATTTATATTACATATGTATATGTATACACATATTTATTTATACTAGAAATAATTTCCTTAAATCATTGAATTTAACATCATTCCGAAGATAATAATTCATATAATAATTCAAATACAAAATGTAAAAACATTGGTGAAAGTCATTAACTCTGTTGCTTATTCTAGCTGCAATGGAAATTTACAATTTCTTTCTAGGTAAATATCCTCGATGACGACGGTGAAAAAATCCACCAAAGTAACAGCTTCAAAAGGATCATGTATAGTGTCTTGGGGCAAACTGATTATTAATTTGTGAACTAATGTTATAAATATATCTTATTTATTGTTCATCGGAACAAATGCTAAAGTAACAATGAAAGCTATTTCAGAATTAAATGTGATAAAAATATTGTTAAAATAACACGAATCATCGTTGAAAAATAACTTAGAAACCTGTATAAGATATTTAAATTCTATATTATACTGCGAATTTTACATACGACAGAAACTGCACTGACAATATGTACTAAATTTTTTACTTAAAATTCTGATAAAATAAAATCTACTACAAATAAATAAATATTAAATGTGAATCACGTATGTAAGAATGATTACTATTTTGTTATGACCTTATTACATTATTCAACAAAAACAAAATCCTGTAATAATTGAATTACATTGAAAAAGAAAAAGAAAGGGTTAAATGTTATTAAAAGAGAAAAAAATTATTTAAAAATTAACAATACCTAATAATAGTTAACATTATTTAATTTAATAATAAATTGCTACAATGTTTATTATAATATATTGATGCTTGTATACTAAATAAACTTCAATTTATTTTCATTGACAGCTTTGATCTATTAAACTTCAATATTAATACATACATGTATATATCGTCGTTATTATGCATATATTAACAAGAAATGATGTGGAATAATAGTACCGCAGTTTACATTGAACCACGTTACATCTATGACAATCTAGCGGATTACAAAATATCGTGTACTATTGTTTCACATTTGTGGAACATAAGACGATGTAGTTTCACTAATCAAATTTAATATTAAGGTACGTACCCATCTTTAAAACAATTCATACATAAAACAAATACTGTGCAGACTATGCCTTCGCAGACTATGCAGTAACCAACGCACAACGTTGGCTGAAATAAACTAATAAAATATTTTTTTTAAATATTCATTAGCAAATATTCACTAGTAAATTGTCTTCTACTCCCATCACTCTTTTTAAAAGAGAGAAACTTGTTGAAACTTTTTGAGTAATAACATTATAACTCGATTTCGTACGCAGTTTTTTTTTCCCTACTAAATTTATATAAATTTACATTTTCACAGTTTGTTACGCAATCGAGTTTAACATTTCAACCTATCTCTTTATATAATCCTACCATCTTACCAATCATTTAATACTTTATCGAAATAGAGTAACAATAAAGAATTAAATCGACTGCCTTTGTTTCTTACTGCATAAATAAGTAAACAGAAAAAAACAATTGCCACAAATATACATTACCAACCCGAAAAGTTTCATTCATTTCTCTACAGTCATAACTATCGATATATTTACGCTCTGCGTAAAATATTTTATAAATTAAAAATAATACTTTCTTTTTAATCTTATTCGTTTCATACAGTTAATTTTATATTAATATATTAACAAAATAAAGTATAAACGTTAACGCACGAATATTTTCAATTAATGTAATAACTATCACTTCAAGATTTACGAACTGTTCAATGAGTAACGCATGTCAAAAGTTCCGTGCTAATGTAATTTTCGTACTTTTGATGTATTTACATAAGATATTTCAGTAAACTCAAACATACACCGGGTTCAACACACAACTCACATACTAACATAAATATATGTTACGTAATAAAAACAAAAAATATACAGAATCGCATTCAAGCATTAAATAATAATGAAATGCATTATTTACATGGATTACTCATTGCGTACGCGTATATTTGCAATAGAAAGAAAGAGTAAATATTAACATAAAATATCTAACATTAATTGTTAGATTTCTTATAGAATTTGAACCTTAATTAATTATCATTTCAATTAAAATAAATAAATTTTTCAAATATTGCTATTCGACTATTACATCAAACAATGGCAATATCGAAAGGTATATATCGATAATTTAATATCAGATAAAAACTTTTTAACCCCTTAATGACTATGCTCGTGTTGACATGGTTTACATTTTATGTACAACCATGTATATTTGTATTTTTTTAATATCAATTCCTTTTGCAATTTTGGTTACGGTACGTTATTAACCATCACTGTCACTACATCGATAAAAATATTCGGGGATTTCTAATTGATTTTTATAAAATAATTTGATCCTTAAGGGGTTAAGTAAATTTTTCACTATGAAGAAAGTATCCGTGCGTATGATAATTCTAATAAATGAATCAGTGATGAAGAAACTCTTCCAAATTCTGTTTGTCTCTGAAAGGGTGCATGTAGAGCAGGACAAAAGGAATATAACAAACATAATGAGAAAATAAATAAAATATGTTCTACATAGTGCGACGAAGGATATTTAAAGATCAAAGCAGTCATCAAATAATTGTTTCAATTCTTTGAGATGCTGCATTTTGCTTCCTGTTGCCGGTGAAGCTCCTGTTGGGCGACCAACATATCTGAAACAGAAAATTACATGTACAGATTAAAGTTACTTATAGAAAATAATTTGAATTCTTCTGCAAATACATCTTATATATATGTGCTTTTGTTACAAAAGTATGACGGATAAAATCATAACAGATACCCTACCTAATCAAATAATGTAATTAACATTACCTTAATGTTCTCTGTTTGTGTTTACCAGATTCGTTCGACAACGGCTCGGATACAATCGGTTTAGTTGATGAAAACCAACCACTAAACCACCCTCCGCTATCCTTATTGTCGTATGACGTATTTCCGCTGCTGTAACATGGCCCAATTTTTTACTGTACTTAGTAAAAACGCGTACAAAACAAATTACTAATAAATTTTGTGCTTAAATACATTGCATTTCTATGATATGTTTTTATATCTGCATACATAAATTTTATAAATTGCATATAAAATAAAGCTGTGATACAGTAAAAAATTTGGACCATGTGAGCAGCTACATATGTTTTACTAATTGAATACTTACAATACAGAACGAGTACCATTAAGAGCAGTGTGGAATCTAGGTTGAATATAGGTCCATGCACCTTGATTTTTATGTTCTTCTTGAGCCCATACTATTTCAGCATTGGGATATTTAGCAGATTCTTTCTTAACTAGGTCGTATGGGAAAGGCGAAATCTATAAACAAAAAGATATTGAAGAAATTTAATCAATAGAATAGATGTGAATGTAAAAGTTGAGTCTTTGATATTTCTAATACTATTTACCTGCTCGACTCTCGCAATTGCAATTTTATCATCCAAATTTCTTTCTGCGCGTGCTTTCTTTAAATCATAATAAACCTTACCAGAACAGAAAACCACTCTTTTAACATTATTAGGATTTTCAGAAGCCACGCCTTCTTCTGGTATCACTCTAAGAAATTCTGTGTTTTCCAGCATTAAATCGAAACTGGACTTTGCTTCTGGATGACGAAGTAATGACTTTGGTGTCATTAAAATCAAAGGTTTTCTGAATGGCAATGCAATTTGTCTTCTTAAAATATGGAAATAATTCGCTGGTGTACTGCAATTAGCTACAATCCAGTTGATATCATGTAACTGGCGTACAGCGAATTCTTCGCTTTCGGGAGGGAAATAATCTGGGTCATCAGCAGACATTTGCAGAAAACGTTCCAAACGAGCACTTGAATGTTCAGGTCCCTGTAAAAAGTAGCCATACAGCTAACTATATATCTACATATAAGTATTTAAAATATTTATAAAAATACACATTTAAACTAAATTTACCATTCCTTCAAGACCATGAGGTTGTAGCATGACAAGACCAGATTGACGTACCCACTTAGCTTGACCACTGCTGATGAACTGATCAATTATACACTGTGCTGTGTTATTAAAGTCACCAAACTGTGCTTCCCAGCACACTAGTGCATTAGGATTTGTCATAGAATAGCCTAATTCAAAACCTAAAAAATTAACAAAAACGTACTTTCATTAGTTACATAGGTAAAATATATAATTGATGAAATATATAAATATAAAACCAGTCTAAAAAATGCCATAGCATTACCAAGTACACCAAACTCTGACAGTGAACTATTGCACACTGTATATGGAGCTTGATCTGGATAAAGATAACACAGTGGCCTGTAAGTAGCTTTATCCACGGTCTGATGATGAAGAACATGATGCCTATGTGAAAAGGTGCCTCTTTCTACATCTTGACCTGATAATCGAACGTGAATGCCTTCTTTAAGTAAAGAACCAAAAGCCATAGCTTCTCCAAGAGCCCAATCAACTGTTCGAGTTTCTATCATCTCCATACGAGATTTTAAAATACGTTCGATACCTATAGGATGTTTATATATTACAAAATGTTAAAATTATTTCTCATATAAATTTTGCCTAATTAATCAATCGATTGATCATTAAAAAATACCTTTATGAATTACAAATTCAGCCGCGTTAGGTGGTGGAGACGAGAATTTCTTTCCTATGTGAATGAGTGTATCTTCTTTGATACCAGTAGGAGATACCTTCAAAGGATCTTTTCCTTCAAAGAAACCAGACCATGGCGAATCCAGCCAGTCTTTATACTTAATATGCGTTTCTTGTCTTGCATTAACATATGCTTCTTCACAGATTTTTTCATACTTATCTTTAACATCCTACAATAATGTTATTACAAAAATACCGTCATATATACTCAAACAATTAAAACATTCTTTACTTTAATACCTTAACTTCTTCAGAGGTGACAACACCATCATCGATAAGAGACTTAGCATATATGTCAAGAACTGGTGGAGTATTTTTAATTTTGCGATACATTAAAGGTTGTGTAAACATGGGTTCATCAATCTCATTGTGACCATTTCTCCTATATGATACAATATCAATAACAACATCTTTGTGGAAAGTTGCTCTCCATTCTGCAGCAACTTTACAAACATGCATTACCGCCTCCGGATCATCCGAATTAACGTGAAAGATTGGTGCGTTCACTACTCTTGCAACATCTTTCAGAAAAACAGTAGTGATTTAAATATAACAAACTTCAAAAATTAAAAATATTCTATATGTTATGAAGTACTAACCAGTACAGTATGGTGAAGATCGTGAATGTCTTGGATCTGTAGTAAATCCAATTTGATTATTTACTACAACATGAATAGTACCATGAGTTGTATAATCAGGCAAATCTGACAAGTGCATTGTTTCAAAAACAATACCCTGCCCACAAAATGCAGCATCACCGTGCAGAAGTATAGACATGACCTATTATAAAAATTCCATTATGAAGCTTTTAGAAATGTAATAGAATTTTATTAATAATGTATAATATTCCACTTATCTTACCTTCTTGCCTTCGCCATCACCACGATAGAATTGTTCTGCACGAGTCTTTCCTTGTACTACTGGATCTACAGCTTCCAAATGAGATGGGTTTGCCACAACAGCTAGTCGTATATTTTTGTTTGTTACTCGATTTAGACGCTCAATATATGTCCCCAAATGATATTTAACATCACCAGAACCCTAAATTATTAAAAATTAATAAAACAAGTATAAAAAAGTAGCAAAATCAAATGTCATACAATATATAATTATGCTTACATCATCAGCTGCTTCAAGAGCCGCAAATTGGGTGAAAATTTGACTTAAAGGTTTACGACAAACATTAGCAAGGACATTTAAACGGCCACGATGGGGCATACCCATGACGATGGATTCAACACCTAGTTCGGTTGATTTATCAATTACCTGTTTCATAGCAGGAATCAAAATTTCACATCCTTCCAACCCAAATCTCTTTTCCGATGACCACTTGCGTGCAAGGAATGCTTCAAATCTATGATAGGGACACAAAAGGCAGCACTGAGTATTTTATTCCTGATTTAGATGAAGAAATTATTACTTTGATATTTTACATACCCAGTTGCACGAGTTAATCTAGCCAAAATAAGTCTTCTTTCATCATTTGTCATTTCCATAATACCAGGTGTTTCCATTTTTTGTCGAATCCAATTACATTGTTCCAAGGAATTGATAAACATGAATTCCACACCGATGTGACCACAATATGCCGATTCTAGTCTTTTTAAGATTTCGCGAAGCGGTAATGATTTTTCTTTACCACCAATAAAAGTGGTGGACGGCAATTTGAAAATACGATCCATGTCTGACTCTTCTGTAGAAATCAAACAAAACATTTGCTCATTTAAGAAAAAATAAATATAATGAAATACAAGTATCGCATATTTATAGTAACGCCTGTGTAACAAGCTTAATTTCAAATAAATCTAAAAATATTTGTTTTATAATAACTATACAACTACGATATTTAGTTATACATGAAATAGTGAGGATGTAAAATATTATTTATTACACATGAATTTTTTTTTTTAAATTCATCTATATATATATATATATGTATAAATACATACATCTTTCTAACTGATACTGAAAATGCACAATATTTTGAAGCAAAAATAAGAAAAGGGTGACTTTTTACAATATAAAACTTAAATGTAATGTTTCCTGAGCTTGCATCATAAACATATACAAGTAATTTCTTTAGTGATATAACATGAACATGTGCAAAATGTTTGACACATGACATATACATGCAGTATACTTTCAAGAAAATCAAAAGTTAAAATTGTAACAAACCTTGTCCACAATATGTCTAAGAATAAAAATAAATAAAAAACTGAAAAAATTTTTCCGGTACAAAGCTGTAAACTCCGATAAAACATTATTAATAAAAACAATCACCAATGATACTAAAATAATAATAGTATAATAGTACAATAGGATTTTTGGATTACGGACCATACAGTTTATAAAATAATATGCAAAACAGATATAAAAATTTGGGAAATAATGTTTAAAATATAAACTACATAAGAGATATTTAATCAATAAATAGGAAGACAAAGAGAAAGTTTAAGTCAATATTTATGAAAGATATGGTTCCAACAAAATGTTTCATTTTATCACTATATAGAACCTGTTCATTAACAATATTATTTATTTAGTATACTTCCTCTAATTCTTCCAAAAGAAATCTTTGAAAGTTATTCCTGGCACAAACATCTTTACAGCAAAATATAGCAATTTTTTCATTAATATTCAAATAGAGGACCCAAGCACCATACCATTAATTTGCTAACAATACCAATTTTTATATAGTCCCACACTGAACCAGCGTCTCCCAAAAATACTTGTAATTCACAAAGAGCTTTAAATTAAACTTTTGTTTACTTAAATTGGACTTTCCATTTAAATTATAATTCTTACATACTTTTCATAAGTGCAGCTACTCTGTATTGTAGTTCCTGTGAGTAAGTAGTAGTACGTGCTCTGTTTCCTGTGGACATTAGACTTGAACTGAATAATTAAATTACCAATAAATTTCTTTTTATGGCTACTACAAAGAGGCTGTGTCCTTAAATATATCTAAATAATTAACTTCACTTTATCGATTTTTAGTAATTAACTTTATAACATTATTAAAATCTAAGATTTTTTTATATTTATAATGCTGTACTTTGTGTCCAGGAAAAAAATGTGATAAAATATGAGTTATAATAATAATAAAAACAATAATTATAATAACAATATTAACTATTATATTATAACAAAACAAATAATGCATCACACGAATATCTTCAAAATATAAAGATGTAAAGAAACAATAAAATCAAATATTATTTGTTTCAAGCAGTTCAATTCTAAATAACTTTTTTAATGCATTGAATACCTTACTTAAAGTGCATCGCGCAGTACTTTTATTCCTTTGACTTATGCAGATACATGTTCATCTGGGCTTACCGAATGAATAATGATTATAGAGTAATTCTTGTGGATGTCTATCATCAAGATCAGCACTGTTGATGCCAAGTGGATCCAATTTAGCGATATGATGGCCACGAATCTGTCAATTTAACGCCACATTCATACGAACCAGATAGTTTTTAGTTCTTCAAATTTATCAATTCATTACATATATTAGGATAAATTACTGTGATTGATGTTCATTTAAATATATTATATAATATTAATATACATGCTATTAGAAAATAAAATAAAGAAAGAGAGAAAAGAATTCTCTTTTAAAAACATCATATCACAGTAATTAAAAACAAATGTATTGTAAAAATAAATACTCATTGATATTGATATTTTAATTAAATTATTTTAATAGTTAAAACGTTATATACATGCTCCTTATTATTAGATTTATTATTATATTTATAGAGTTAAAGCTAAAAATATTTAATTATTTGCTATCCCACAATTTTTTAAAGAATTAAATTAAATAAATTGAAGTTATATGTAAGACAATCACAGAATAAAAATAACTTAAAAAGTTGTTCCAGAAACAAACATGCAAAATAATAATTATAAATATAGAAAAGCAAAGCTAATAACATCACATGCAAGCATACAAAGCAATGATTTTCCAAATACACTTTCTTACCTTAAATTGTTATGTAAGATGTATACGTTATTTGAAAATACATCATAAATGCTAATTTGTAACATACGTACGTACATGCATACATATGTACATACATACATACATTTATATGCACGCACATACATACACATATAATAAAGTAAGAACAATATTTTGTATGGTATATATAACATACTATTGATACAAATTATCAAATATAAATCAATAAACATTCCATTCTTGCTTAAGAGAAACATTTTCAGTATCAGTAAAACTTATCATGGATTTACATTCACATAACACCTTCTCAATAAAATTAATAATACAATTCTTTCTTCAAATTTTAGTAACATTCTTATGAATTTCATGTTCTTTTCTTTTCTTCTTTTTGAATATCAACATATGCACAAATAAAAGAAAATGATTTTAATTATATATAAAACATGAAATAAATAACAATAAACTTCTTAAAAAAAAATTTTTAATCTTAAGAATGATTGAAAACAAAAAATGCATTCATTATATAATATACAAAGTATTATATTAAAAAAAGTAAAATATGACAATTGAAAAGAAGCTAATGTGGATAATAGAAACCATGATATTTCTTTCTATGATGTGAAGTATGACATAAATGTGGTGAAGGTGTTTCAAAAAAGCTGCCTTAATTCAAAAGTATTCTTATGAATTTTAACAAAGGTAAGTAAACAAATGTGGTCCAAAGCTAGATATAGAATATCACATCCTATATGAATACACCTTTACCTCATGATATACATGAAAACTAAAATAATAATTTAATGAATTGGTTTGGGTAAAAGCCTTACCAAGCATATATTGCCGCAGAACCTGTTCTGGAGACCCCTTGCGGGCTGCATAATGTGTGTGTACCAGGTCTGTTTGCATGATACCCAGTGGGTCCAGATCAGCGACTAAATGACCTCGAGCCTATATGCCAATGAATAATTCCAAAAGAACCCCAATGTATATCAATTTTGCTATTTATTAAACTACCATACATTACTACATATAAAGATACAATATTACTATTAAAAGTGTAACCACCCCTCAATTATTCTATCTTCAAATACTAATTATTACTGTAGCACATTAAAATTTTATTTATACATTTATAAAGGCATATAAAAATATATATTACAATTTCCTAAGATGATATATATAACTGTCTTTAAGGTTACAAAGTATTGTGTCATTTATATAAAATTTTGGTTCAATTAATAAAAAGTACCATTTTAATCTACTTTTTGAAAATTAGTTGTCCTTAATTGTATGCTTTTATTAATCCTTTGTTGACTTTATTTTTTTAAATATACATTAATAGCAGGAAAAATTATAATTCACATTACAAGTTGTACAGATCTAACACATAGATTGAAAAATATTTAATTATGAAACATGCTAAATGCAATAGATGCAATGTGCATCTAATAAAATAAGATTATTATGCAATACTTAAATATGATCTAAAATTCCTAATCAGTGCTTGGAATATTCACTTTTTTTCAAGATAGCACGCAATGATGGATTATTTCATGAAGCACATGATACCCCTTAATGAAATAGTTTCAATATCAATTTCTTATGTCCACATTTCACAAGTTTAACCTTTTTTGTTTCATCAATTGCAGAACTAATATATGAACTAGATTAGCAAACGTAAATATAACATTAAAAAGAAAAACAAAAATTAGGACAGGGAAATTGAAAAGAAACTCTTATTTAATATCACATGCAATATGATAAAAAATTTCCCTTTAACACAAAACATACACATAATGTTTCTAGAACACATGCTATAATAATTCAAGATCAAATAATGATGAAATTACAATTAGAATATTCACTTTTCCAATTTAAAAAAAAAAAAAGGAATTTTATAATACCTAAAAGCTTTAACATAAAGCCATAGAACAATATATAATTTTTCTTAAACTGAGCAATGAAAAAGAAAATAAAGTTTTTTTGCAAAAGTATTCAATAACATTTTTTATAACACACACATAAGAAATTTAAAGTGCTCAAAGACTATGTTTAATTGAAATATAATTATAATTAAGTTTTTCTAAATATATAATGTATGGTTAACATACCTGGTAAGAACGAATAATTGCTTGAACGGCCAGGTGATCATCAATTATTTTTTCATTAACAGGTATTTGACTCAATTGGGTGCCTCCACCAAGTGGCAATAATGATCCTAGTGGAACTTGGTTATAACTTGGAGCAAGAGAAGGAGGAGCCTGGTATGCAAGACCTGGTGCAGCTCCAGCAGTACTACTACGAAAAAATGAATCCCAAGACTACAAAAAATAAAAGTAATTTACAATAAATTATTACTAATATTTACTTTTTATTTAACAAGAAGATATTTTATAAATTTATTACTAACCACATGTACACTATGAGGATCTTGTAGCCATGCATTATACATTTCTTCTACATAAGAACTGGAACTGCCATTGAGAAATGGTTCTGTAGCTACCCTATTGCTATATTTTCTAACTGATTCAGTAACCATTGCTTGTGTAGTCCTTGTTAGTGGATGATTTCTTACCAACCACGAAGCAAATCTTTCAGGTCTACACATATTTGGCGCCAAAGGGGCCAATGTACTAAATACTGTCCTTGCCTTATACATTTTTTACCTAAAATAAATAATGCTTAATACATATAATAAGTATTAAAAATTTATAAATCACAGATTTATATTATTGTATAGCATATTATATACATATAATATTAATATGCAATATTGATATCCAAATATTGATATATTTATTATCAAAAATCATATGTAAATAAGTGTTTGTTATCTTCAAGATTTTATGGTATAATGTTTAAAATTCCTATATTCATTGTTCATTCAAAAAACAAATAATCTTTATCTACAAGGAGTGATAAATCTTTTATCACTCTTTTATGTCAACCAAAATATATATTATGTGATTATCTTAATATGACATTCTCAAACTTTGTTTTTTCAGTAGATAGATAAAAAGAAATATCTAAAACAACAGATAATCTTATTAAACAATAAAATATTTTATTACTCAATATAATGTTTTATTGCTCTATAAAATGATTTTCTTATGAAATCATTTTGCAAGATTTAATTCTATTTATAAAGACATATTTTTAAATTTCTCTTTAACTTTAATTGTAGATTTCTATTACACAATCACATATGATGTGCCAACTTTAAAACTTAGGTCATGATGAAATCAATCATTCTATATATTATGTACAATTATGGAAAATAACATTTTTAAAAAATATTAGTTGAAATATTCATATTGGTGCATATTCCTTTAATACAATATATCAAGTAATGGTTTAATACTGCAAAACTGTTCTATTTATATTCATTTGATTTTAATGTATCAAATTTTATTTGTTTCATTGATTTGATTATAACATATTACAATGTTCATTTTCTTAAACATTATGATATCAAAGGTATCTTTAAGAAATGGTTAACATTTAATAAATTATAGTAATACTATATTACTTAATATTATACTACATAAAAGACAATATGTATATTTGTGGATTGCTTTAAATTTGTTATATCTTATAAATGTTTAATTAATTTTCTTATAATATAATCAGTAGATGTGAAGAAAATTTGTAAAAATTTAGTGTAAATTTGAAAAATTAAGTATTAATATAACACAGACATAAATTTATTAATAGTGAACAGGAAATAATATACATACATCACACATTATAATGCAGCAGACTAGTCTGCACAAATAACCTATACTCTATCATAATGAATGACTACTATAAGTCAGATAAACTAGCAAGAAAGTCAAAACATAAAGGGAATTCATAATAAACTCTCTATATTAAATTTTATGTAAAAAAATATAAATGTATATAAATTTATTATAACACCATAATACAAAATAAATAAAACAAGTTATTGTGTAATTCTAATTAAAATGAACCGAAAAATGTTTATATTAATTATGATATAAAGATGATAACGAATTATCAATTATTACAACATATTACGAGCAATCGGTATGTATATCAATTAGAAATACGTGAAATTTATATGAAATCTTACATAAATCATAACGAAAATAAACGGAAATAAGCATGACAAAATGCTGACTAAATTTTACCGAATCTTTTCCGTATTGCGTATTTTTATAATAACGAGAAATTTAATATTTATTCTTTGAATTCGTATAAATTCACAAATTCAAGTTTATGTTTAAAATTATTTCATTGACAAAAGCCAATTAAAACGTATTTCAAATTTTTAAAACAAATTAAATAAATAAGAAAATATTCTTTGACAATTAGATAACGTCAAAAATGCATGACATTTGTTCCTCGTTCAAACCAAAAAAGAAAAGAAAAAGAAAAAGCAGTAAAATTGTAAGCCTTATGTATACAGTAATAAATGAAAAATAACAAATAAATCTTAGGATTTTATTAAAGAGGAAGTCTCGAATGAATGTTAAGATTAGATATAAGATCCAAAATACCTATAGCGATTACACAATTGTATTTATACATACGTGTATATATATGTATATATATATAT